GCGCAGAGGCGGACAGAGGCCCTCTGCGAGGCGCGGGGGCGCTGCGGGCATGCTGGGCAGGCGCGGGTCGGCACGCATGCGCTACATGCGCGGCTAGTGACCGGGTCCGACCCTTGCAAAACTTTTCCGACTTTTTCTAGGGACACGACACATATATGAACATAATATGATTAAATATGCACAAAAATTCTGAAAAGACCTAAGGAGGGCTCGGACTTGCGCGGGTTGGTTCGGTAGGGCCTATATGGCACCCTTGAACCCTAGGTGACCGAACAAACATGCTCAACTTGTAAAATCACTTACATCCGAATTATTTACATGTAAAGTTACAACTATGGAGGCTTGAACATGGTACATAACTTGTAAGTATGCGTGAGATGGTTCGGGGGTGAAAATGGCATAAAATCATGTAAGACTTGCCCGAACCAACTACTTAATCTTGCATATATGAACATGGCCGAGTTATATACATGTAAAATCATGATTTTTAAGACTAACATGATAGGCTTTTCATGCATGTACATAAGGGATGGCTCGGGAGCTAAAAATCGAGGATTTTCGGAGGCTCGTTTACTTAGCAAATGAACTCCAAAAATTCTCAAATTAATACACATCATTTCTTATGATTTTTAAGTGACATTTAGCCAAAGAAAACATCCTAAACATGCTTTGAACTAAAAATCCGATTTTAAGCCCTTAATTTCTTAAAATTCGAAACTCTAAGAAAATGACATGCATGGCCTTATTTCTCTTGATGATAAATCTCATTTTATCATAAAATGACTGAGGGAAAAATATTTCGTGGCTTACCTTCACCGAAAATAGAAAATGGTTGCTAGGGCTTGAACTTGGCTTATTTCGGGTCTTGAGAGGCTATGGCTCGACTCGGGTGGAGTTTGGTCGAGGTCCAAGGATTCTGGAAGCTTAGAATTATCCTAGGAACACAATGGACATGGTAGACCTTGGTGGAATATGGCTAGAGCATGAAAATGGCCGGCACTCCTTCTCCTTGGCCCTCCTCGCGCGTGTGTGTGCTAAGGGGGGAGTTTCTTGATTCTTCTCTTAATTTTCTCTAAGTGTTAGAATTCTCAAGTGTCTAAGAGCTTGGAAGGTCTGAATAAATGGTCTTTTAAAGGGTTAAGGGCTTGGGTCTCATGACTTGGTCAAGGGGGACAAATGAGAGGACATAATGGGGGACAACTCCTTCTCCTAGGTGCATTGGGTTGTCTTGGTCTTGTCCCAACTGAGTTAGCACGTTTTTGGTGGTCTCCAAGGGGCAAAATGACTGAGGTAAGTGGTCTTGTATTGGGTATAGGAGATAGGGGACATTACTACACCCTAGGACAATTAAATATTCAAATGTCCCCCCACTAACTTGGACCAAGACTAGAGGAGTCTTGGGTTGACTTTGACCAGGGTCAATTGGGCCCAAATAATACCTTAGTAAGTGGGTTGTAATCTCACAAATTTGGGCTCGGTGAAAGTGGGCCGAAGGTAGCTGATTTGGGCCTTGGAAGCTGGACTGCCGCTGCTGGGCGCTGGGCTGGCGCTGGGCCTCGGGCGCGGGGTTCTGCTGGGCCGCGCGGTGCTGGGCTGCTGGCGTGGGACTGCGCGCGGGGCAGGCCTGCTGGGCGCGTGCAGGTGTGGCTACGCGCGTGCTGGCTGGCCTAGGCACGTGAATGGCTTGAGTTTGTGTTTTTTGTCACTTTTATTGATGTTTTGGACTTAGAGAAATTATGGTAATGTTTCCCCAGACTTAGGCTTGATCTCGGGCCTCGACCCGGAGCCTTGGGCGGGGTCGCGGCTCGAGTGGCTCGGTTAACTTCTCGATTTTCGAACGAGGTCTAGGACTTGAATTAGCACTTCATATTACTTAGAAAAATTCTAAGTATTATGCTATTAGGACTCGGCATGTTCTAAGGCTCGATGACTAGTGTTCGGAACGAACGGTCCATTCGAATAAATATCCGAATGATTAAAATGGACTTAATATATATTGAGCACTTAATTAAATCTTGAATTCTACTTCTTAACACATTAGAAAAATTATTCTAAGTGTTCGCGAATGCTAGGCTATAACTTAGGGAAATTTATCCGGACCTAGATTCAAAATCTCGAGTCGGCTAAATTTCACTTATTAACCCACTTTCTTGGGTTGATCTTAGTCTTAACATATCTAAAAAAATTGTTAAGAATAATCTAACTTAATTGAGAACTTTCTTATAATTTAAATAAATCTTGAGTTTCTTAAAATTACGAATTTCACTTAAAAGTCGAGCAGTGAAAATCGTCTTAATAATATAATAATATTCGGGGCGTTACAACCTATCCTCCTTAAAATATTTCCGTCCTCGGAAATACAGAATTAGGGTACTAGGCCACTAAGCCAGAACTCATACTAATACTATGCACAAACGTGCTAAATAAATGTACACAAGTACATCAGGATGTCTCAAAGCCGAAACTCTGGATTTCTGGCTAACGTAACTGATCTTGAATCTGGCAC